TGCCTAGGAACCTATGCGTCTGTATTTTAAGCAGGAATTCAAGCTACTGAATTATGTGCGGAGAGATTAGAAGAATTCAACCTCATACACAAATCAATAAAAATATTCTCGGACAGTCAAGCGTTGGAAGCTCTTGGCTCCTACCGAGCAACGTCTAAATTGCTAGCAAAGTGCCAAAAACGACTCTCCTCGATAGGAATACGTAACAGATTGTCTCTGGTCTGGATTCCTGGCCATACCGACCTGGAACGCAATGAAGATGCTGACTCTCTTGCAAAGGAGGGTCTGCAAGCGGCTTCATCGTACCAGAACCTGTCATTGGCATCGCTTTGCGCTTTGCCAAACAAACACTGAACACCTGGATGGCAAGAAGATTTATGGACTTCTGGCAGAATCTTCCAGGATTGGCTCTATCTAAGGCGTTTATTCAGCCTTCGAAGCTTGATACCAAACAGTTGTTGGTTTACAGTAGGGATGAACTACGATGTCGAACAGGCCTTCTTACAGGTCACTGTCATTTGAATCGTCATAGGCAGAGACTCGGACTGTCAGAAGACACTGGGTGTCGCCTCGTTTTGGAAAATGATGAAACAGCAGAGTACATACTTTGTGCTGGGGACTGAATCAAGTTTTTCGAGTTCGTCGGAGCCGTACTCTTACTAACTGACCTGAAATACCACACCATACAAACTAATCAGCTTCGTTAAGAAGCTGGGTTCATTTGGTCGAGTGTGAATAGGTGTGAGCCACAACAAACTCTTGCGGGTTGCGGTGGAGGGTCGAATAGACCCACTCACTTTGGGCCTAACCTAACCCAACCTAATCCATATTTATTGTCTAACATGTGGCAACATAATATCCAATTAGCATTGAGAATATGAAATAGTAAACTCAACGGAAATTGATATTGACAACTTTTATTGATTGATATCAAGAGGAAATGAGGATATAAAACAGTATTTATCCCAAACGCTTCTATCGAGATTCTGGTTTGAAAATGTTTGGAAGTCGTTCGTCATCAATTAGAAAATCAATGAAGCATTTGATCTTTCAATAATGTTCCAATTAAAAGAGGAATTTCGAGGAGAGATAGGTTTTTGGGAAAAAGCTATTTTCTTTCACTTCTCCACTTTCATACAATTGTGAAAAACTTACAAAAATAAGGAAAAAATATATTTCAGAATGAATTATTTACAAAAATGTGTAGATCATACATAGAAGTAACTATCGATTTATTGTATGAAGAAAGGGAAGTGAAAGCAAAAAAGTTTATTTTTTTTATTCAATAATGTGTTTTGAAGACTATTCCAATTCTAGTGGAGTTGTACTGGTAGGTATAATTTTTTATGTCTCTTGAAGAAAGTGCAAAGGAATAAATTAATCAATAGGAAAGAACGACGGTCTAGTAGATTTAATGCATTATTAGAAGGGAATGTAGAACAAGGAAGTTCTGTTCCACCAAAGAGCTGTTGATAATTCGTTGGAGACTGAATGATATATTTCTATGTAAGTGAAATTTTATATAAATGATCTTTCATCTATTACGCTGTGTAATATGCCTGTGAATGATATGTTTCAATTCCACAATAATGCTTGGAATACAAACTTAACAGATAAAAGAGATTTTCATGTACTGCAATGTTCATATGGAAGTACTTTTTCCTCTGTAATTTTCATGTGGAACTAGTTGTTTCAGAAGGGATTTTTCTCCCAGTTTGTATCTTGGAGAAACTTCGATGCATGATGTTTGTAGACAGTTTACTCCGAATTTAATTGCTCTTCTCCGTTCTCAGGAAGTTTTTTACGTTTTTTTTGTATGAAGAGAATTATATACTTCCATGTCGTAGCGAAATGACAGTTTAGTTTCAACTCACAGAAAGCAAATACTTTCCGTAGAATGTAATAAAAAACTTATTGAAACCTCAGCTATCACAGGAAGAATTGTCAACATAGTTTATAAATAGGAATAGATCCAATATAAATTTCCTTGAACACTTGATCTGAGAGTTTGTCAATTAGAGGAAGTTGGGCAAAGGCTTCAAAGTCTAACTGATCAACATTTTGAATCCAAAATCTCAGCTCAGGACTGATACAGTTGGAAGATATTCACTCAAAGTTGAAGCCAAAAACCCTCTAAGGAGTACATCAATTTGGTGTTACTCGTGTTAGATGTTTCAGTATGAATTACAACCACCTTGAGGTCTGGTTAGGTTGGTAAGCTTCTTTCTGTTAGAATAGTAGATGTGTATTGGTGACACTTGGTTGAGAAAACCACGATCATAAAAAACATCTACAAATTCAAATTTAAGGTTTGCCATTTGCCTACTTCGATAACTGCTTTTGCTTCAGTCACTAAACATTCATTTCTGTAGTGAAATCTGGACTTGATGCCATGCTGGTACATATTGCTGCCTAATTTATGGTTGTGCTATTAATGACTCACCATGTTTGTGTTTTTTTTTGTAACAAAATCGAGAAATCACTCAGATACAGCCTACTGATGAGAAAAACTTAGATCAAACTAGGCATTTAGGCTAGAGTGAATATAGGCTTTCAAATAAAGCACATTTTTTATGATATAATTATGTATGTAGAATGTTTTCAAAACAATACAATCTTCAATCTACTTCCCCTTGTGAGTATTTTCCATAGACGTTCACATATTCGTCGCTGGGTTCCTAAGATGCATCTCTACAAACTTGACAGAAGAGGAACTGGTTAATCTATTCAATTCACCAACGATGTACAAAATACCGTTTTATATAAAAACAAGGTAACATTCTTAATTTAGCTTTATCAGTAGAGTTAGAAAGCGTACAATGGGTATGCGGTGTTCAACTACGTATCACTTTCTTTTTCGCATAGATCAAACCGTGAAGATCAGTTAATTCGGTACATTTTGTGCAATATTATAGCTCTCACTGAAATATATATTGTTTTATTTTCTAATTCAGTTATCGCAATATCTGACCAATTATTATTTCGTAATGATTAAAGTAAAAATGATTGACTGAATATGATGAAATATAGTGAATATCCATTCAACAATGGGTCATTTGCTATTTCCGATGTAATAATTGAAATGAGACAATAATTCGAATGTGCATCAAGTTTTTTTTTGTTACCGAACTCCAAGACAAATATTTGAGACCCGAAGTATCATAGACAAATATTGTGATCAAATTTGCCTGATCTGATGCGTATATGTTAATATACGCATCAATGATATGAAGAAATTACATCAGAATTTTACATTACTTCTCATAATATTATGATCAAATTTGCCTGATATTATGTTAATATACGCATCAATGATATGAAGAAATTACAGTAGAATTTCACATTACGTCTCATAATGATTTTCCACTTCGAAACGATTTGTGAATAGCAATAAAGTCTGTTTTATTCCACCAGTTATCATAGTTTTTACCATATCCATCAGTACATTGGTAGAATCTGTCAGAATTTTATAAAAAAGGAGTATGGGGAAACCTATAATGTGCAACAATCATGCATCCACAATCAAGTATCAGCCAGTTCTATTCAATTAGAGAATATTATCAGCAAATATGTCAAACTAGAGGAATATCAAACGAGAAGAGAACAATCTTTTTGGTTATTTTTGACTCTAACTCCACTACCGAGAAAAGTTGAGGATTGCTTTAAAATTTTTTAATGTCATCGAAAAATTCCTATTCGAATCCAGTAGTATGGTGGGAAATGTTGATTTTCGTCAACTCTAATATGAATAATAATAGTAAGTATTCATTGTGTCGTAAAATACAAAACTACACACAAAAGAACCAAATACATTCAAAATGATATCAACCACGCCCAAAAAACAGGCAAAGAACATATGGTACAAACAAACTGACAGGATTATAATGTACTAAAATTTAAATATAGGATAGAGAAAATAACTTTTGTCTACTTTCTACAAGATTTTTATCTATTACGACCGGTTTCGGTTTATTGAAGCATTTTCAACAAACAAAGTACCGTGAGCATATATTATCAGATAAAAATCAGCTATATATGGACAGCTACAAGAACAAACCCCACAATAAAGAGAGAAAACATGAAAAATCTCCATACGAGCAGTAGAGGAGGGGAGATGAATTTGTTGGAAGCATTGGACAATATTCTTGTTGACTGGACAAGCGTACTTATTCATCAAACTCAAACACCTGTTCAGTTTTGTAAAAAAGGTATCATCTTTCCTGGAGTCTTTGAAGTCCACTAGATACTCTTTAGGACAACAAGAGGATTGTTCCGAATTCTTGGGGTTCTTGTTGAATACTCTTCGTGATCAAAACAATATCAAAATCAATACTCCTGACCGCTCTGGACTGAATGATTCCGTACAGCCCATCTCGTCTTGTGTTTGTAAATCTTTTGCTGGAAAAGATGACAATATAATATAATCTCATTTTCAAATAATTTTCAACAAAACTATTGGATATTTTGAAACTGAAAGACTGATATTGAGGGAAATTCAAAGGATTTTCAACGGAATCTTACTCGACCCCCAATGCTATCAAAAATCGGTTGAGTTTGGATACGAAGTAAATAGTAGTTGAAGAATAATAGATATAAAACGTTGTTTTGGAAAAGGTTGAATTTGAAAAATCAACACCTCAAAACAAATATGTGGATAGGTTGTTCAAAAAATCATGGCAGAATTTGAATATCCAATTTTTCAACTTGCCGGCATGGTTAAATAACGTACATAAAGATGAAGAAAACTATGGTATTATTATAATGACCTTAGTGATGTTTTATAGTTCCATTATAGAAACAACTCCGCGTAAGATATTCAACAAAATATTAAAGGATAATTTACTATTTGTGCAGCGTCACCACAATAGTGGCGAGGATTGTTTGAAAAAATTTGAGCTGTTATTTCGGTTTGTTCATCCTAATCACCGGTTTGGTATAATTAACAATAATGATCGAATTAAGTAGAAGTCAGTCAAAAGTTATGAACTGAGTAAACTTACGAGAAAGTCTATTGATATAGTCCAATGTAGGGGGTTCCCATTCTTCTTCTTTTGGACCCCTTGGTCGTTTCCTCATAATGTACTAAAATTTAAATATAGGATAGAGAAAATAACTTTTGTCTACTTTCTACAAGATTTTTATCTATTACGACCGGTTTCGGTTTATTGAACCATTTTCAACAAACAAAGTACCGTGAGCATATATTATCAGATAAAAATCAGCTATATATGGACAGCTACAAGAACAAACCCCACACTTCTTCGATTGACGACTTGTTTATTTTGTGGAAATTCATGTTCACTGAGGATACACTACAAAAACACACTTTTGATATTTGATATTTGATATACCTGATATACCTGATATCCGGTACCAGGTATATGAAACGCAGGTACTGGATATCAGGTATATCAGATATATCAGAAAATCTATCATTTATGTTCCTCAACGATCTGTTGTGGAATTCCTCTCTTTGAACTAATTTTGAGACAATATTCTTGTTGACTGGACAAGCGTGGTGAACAAAATGCGTTTCATCCAATTTCAAAAGTTGCAATTCTCTAATAAGGTGGTGATATATGGTTGAGGAGGAAACGCTTCAATAAAAAAAATGCATGAAAGGTATTTTGGTGTTCTGACATGATGATAGTCTTCTGCCTCATACTTTGATTCTTTGTCAGTATTTAGATCAATATTTTCCACAGCACTGAATTTAAAGAAGATGACGAAGATGCAGAACGATAGATTTGCTGCTATTTGATTTTTTGGTGTGGATACGTAAAAAATGAAAATACCATCATTTTCAGTGTATTTGCATAAAAAATGTCATGAATAAATAACGTAATGACTCTGAAAATTTTCATTATTATAAGGATCTCAGTTATCATCAGTTCGAACATTCATTTAATTGAATAGTAAGTGAGTAGCTGAATAAATTCTAATTCACAAGAGCCGAATCGATCCCTCTACGAAATCCTTCTTCACTTGGAAGGATCGATCGCAGCTTGAGAAATGGTTCTTATGGAGATTCTGTGACACATGTTCTTCCTTACGAATCAGTAGATAGTTGTCCTGAAAATCTAGAGAAGAAAATAGGATTGGATAATTTAGGAAACACTTGCTACATGAATATCATTTCACAAGTGTTGTTCATGACGAAGAATTTCAAGAACGAAGTTCAAACTCAAACACCTGTTCATGCAGCTGCAGTTTAGTAAAAAAGGTATCATCTTTCCCTCCAACCGATTTTCTGGAGTTTTTGAAGTCCACTAGATACTCGTTAGGACAACAAGAGGATTGTTCCGAATTCTTGGGGTTCTTGTTGAATACTCTTCGTGAGCAAAACAATATCAAAATCAATACTCCTGACCGCTCTGGACTGAATGATTCCGTACAGCCCATCTCGTCTTGTGTTTGTAAATCTTTTGCTGGAAAAANAGTCAGTCAAAAGTTATGAACTGAGTAAACTTACGAGAAAGTCTATTGATATAGTCCAATGTAGGGGGTTCCCATTCTTCTTCTTTTGGACCCCTTGGTCGTTTCCTCACAGCCTCTTGTCTCGTGGTTACATTATCCGTAGCTAGTCGTCCCATCGCTACAAAAATCAATAAATTTGCAATTCAGAAACTTCATTTTATATTGTCCAAATTAGAGGATTGAAATTTGATTCTTTCATCTATGTGTACCTTCATCCATGAACTTTCATAAAATCATTTCTCATAGTACTCCACAATATTCCCATGACTATTATACTAAATGATAACCTGATGAATATGAAAAGAAAACATAACCATGTGAAGAAACTTTGAATAGAAAAAGTTGTTTACCAACTCACAGCTCCATAGTTTATGAGATATTAATTGATTTACTAAACTTTCATTTTCATCTGAAAATTATGTTAAAATAACTAACAATATTAACGAAAACTTGTCAAAAAATACACAGAGTTTATTAGACTCCGGACACAATTTGTTGACATGAATAAATGAAACTGATATAAAGTGCTTTTCTTTAATGTCCTCCCCTTTATTTTTTGAAAGGGTCAACTCAAAAAATTGAAATTTGTGATAATGAAATTAATGCATGAATACTTCAGTTTGAAGTAAAATTGACAGATGAAACTTTCAAGATGGCGACTGAGCGCCATCTGGGAAAAAAAAATTAAAAAGAAAGGGGGCCTTGTGACACATGTTTGTGAAGCTCCTGACAAATGCTTTACAACCCTAGAATATAACGTCGTTATGTTCAACTACTACAAAATGGCGGAACTTTAATAATTGCCTGAATACATTGACATTTAACTACATAATATGATGAAGAAAAGAGAATCGAAACTTTCTGTTTATTATCACTTCTATTTGTAACTACCGTTACTGCAGTTTCGTCCTATACGGACATTTCCAAACTTATACATATATCCAAGTATTCATGCATTAATTTCATTATCCCAAATTTCAAATTTCTTGAGTTGATACGTTTAAAAAATAAAATGGGGGGAAAAAGAAATGCACTGTATCAAGATGTCATTGAGAACCTGTCTGCAAAACAAATCCATGAAAATTTATATTTTCAAGAAAGAAAAATGAAAACAGTATCGAATTCACTTACGTATTTTGTGACGATCAGCTTTCCACTCGTCGAGACAATTATTAACATTATTATTATCTCTAGGTTTACCATCGTTGTGAGAATATCTCATTGCTTTTCTCTTCTCCTTGCTGGTGAACATGCATTCTTCTAGGAGCTCGAACCAATCCTCTAGTCCTTCAGAGGACCTGAGATAGATTTTACCATCTCGACCGAGGATGAGAGCAACTGGAAATTGAAGAAAAACCATCGTACTAAAATTTAAAAATGACTTTTCACTAGGAATATTTTTTAGTGATAAAGTGTAAGTCACACAATATCGTCAATTCAATAAACAGGGTGTAACTGAATAAGTGTTAAACATTTAAGCAGGTGATTCCTCATGGAAAAAAAGATAGGATCTTTCATATGAAGAAACTTCATTGGAGCATCCCTTGTTAAGATACCTACAGCCCCTTAAAGAGGGTTCATAAAATTTCTATAACAATTTTTTTCACAAGAACTGAAAAAGTAACAATATTGAAATTGACCTGACGTTTTGTACTACCAAAAAGACACTTAGTCAGTAATTTATTTGGTTTACCCCATGGTTGTAAGGGGTGGAAAACGCAACCCCTAAAATTTATTTCCAATGTACCTTTTTGTCTCATTATTTGTTCACCATTTAAAAATTTATTTTCGATAGCCTGTTTCATTCTAAACAAAAAATGTCTNAAGAAACAATTTTCACTTAGGGATTTGGAATTCTTTCATTATTTTTGTTTGACAAAACTTTATTCAAATTTGAATTGAGCGTGGAACGTAATTCAAATGAAATTTCCATAGACGTACATGGCAAGAATATTTCTGGGAACGAACTATGGAATATAATAATCAAATTCAAAGAATACCTTGATGATCCGCTATCTGGAAAATACATTATTTAGTATTGTCATCAGATGCATAACTGGAATTTTTGAATTTATTAATTTCAAGGCTCCAGAAGTTCTGTCTACATACCTTATTCACTTTCTGAATGTTCAATTAACTATTATTATCTACATTTTGTGCCTCTGCAAGTAGAGAATTTTGTTTTTTCAATCATTTGAAGAGGTCATTTTGTTCTCTCCCCTGCCCAGAAAAAAAGAATATCTTATAGAAATAGATATTTTTTTGTGATGTAACTACTATTTAATTACACAGTATACTCATTTTCACTTAAGAAAAAGAAAGGAATATTAAAGAAAATGAAAATTGTGAAGAAAAAAAATGTTTTTATCAATAGGACTAAAGCAGATGTCTCTTTTGATGACATCGAATGAAATTTTATTTGTATGAATTGAGTCATCCAAAAATGTGCTGATGAGGAGTTGAAAAACTACTGTTTTCACAAAAAACTTCTACCTGTAGATGGAAAGTTTTCAATGTGAGTGACGTTGCATCCCAACAATCTTCCATGTATTGAGTTATAAGGCGGTCTTGTGTATGACATTAATTTTCGATTCTGTTACTAATCTTTGACGAACGAACTGAATGAGAAATAGTAATTTCTGTGTAATTCCGGATATATATTCAAAAGTTTCGGATGAACAGTTTTTTCTATTTTGTGTCTGGAGAAAACTTCTACGCATGATCTAAACATCTTTATAGTTAGTTTTTATTGATGATGAAGTATTTAAGTTCTTGTTTCTTTTTCCAAAATTTCCCACACGGATCTAGGTGAAAATATTTGAATACAGTTTTCGAAATCTCACTCACCAGTGCTATAAGTCTTTTTATTTTCCCATTCTATTTTGACTAAATCGGTTAGTTTCACTTTGAAGATGAACTGGCCCATTTCTGAGATTCTGTCAGTTCCTGACGCTCTTCGGAAGACATACAAGTAGTCTCTAGTGAGGATGAAGTAGCGTTCCTTCCAACGGCTGAAGAACTTATCACGCTGTTGCCAAAGTAGACCCCGCTTTATCACATGTGCTGTTTCCTTCCCAAAACTAGGAAGGAGAGACTGAAAAGAAAAATAATAATTCAGTTTCTTGCTTTTTTCAAGATATATAAGGGTAGAATTTTTTCGTGGCCAACTCAACCATTCAAAATACTATTTCTCAACTCTAGTATTTTGAAAAAAATATGGAGACCTTGTTAGTAATTAAATCTCAAAACAACGTATACACTTCGTCAGGAATAAAATCACTGTTATGTAAAAAAATTCTTGAGACTTCAACACATATATTATTGCCAATATCTATCTGCAAGAAACATGTAGATCTGCTAAAAGTATCCCTGAAACTTGGTTAATTATAGAGATGCACAAGCACTGCTCTTGAGTAATTGGACTGGATTTATATCTCTAAAGATTATAACTATCTAAAAAAATTGTTTCTGAAAGGAGGCAGTTATCACAAACGAATGCGATTTGAATTTCGACGGGATAGACAACTATACTTTCTAAGGTACTGACATATATCGTTTTCGATGAAATCAAAGGTTAGGTTAGGTTAGGTGAACAGGTCTATTCGACTTTCCACTGTAACCCTCGAGGGTGTATTGTGGCTCACATTCATTCACCTCCATCAAATAAATCCAGCTACTCAACGAATCCGACTACTTTATGAGGTAGTACATCTTTCAGGTCAGCTGACAAGAATGGGACTCTGCCTAGCGCTGAAAAACTGATCCGGTCTACAGAGAGGCAAGCACAGGGTACGTTCTCAGCTACCAAAGGCTGAATTTCCTAGTGATAATCCTCTCCAAGATTGAGAGACCATAGTACATTTTTCTCAATGTAGTGGGTCTTCTGTGTCACATTTCAGAGGGATGCTCTTCCATGGCTACAGGATAGTAACCTTACCTTACCAGCCACGTTATTGGATACCTCCACAGGTAGTCTGTAGCCATTCAGGTTGCAATTTTTAGCTCTAGAATCTTACTTTATTGAGGTTACCGAATGTTGAAAGGGTCAGATTCGCATTAACACCTTGATGCCCGCAGCACTCATTCATATGAATGCAAGTGTTCAGCTTTTCTTTACGATACATTAGATTCAGCCATGCAGGTTTTTTTGTTTCTGGTTTGGGAATTCATATCAAAAACTGGCGAACTGAGAAACTCCTTCTCTTGATCTTTTATCGAAGAGGGTCATTTATTTGACGTCCATCTTCTTTGTAGACTAAGATTCGGATTTTTTGGACCCTCATTGACTCATAAAGGTTCTCACGGCAGAGCCTCGCATCACCATGACAAGGCTTTCTACAGTGAGGAGGCACCTGATATCTTGAAGTGATACCGAGTGAACTGGAAATCATATATCCTTTCGACAAGGATACACACCTCAGGATGGAGCGTCAGCACGAGGGTTCTTACCTATAGATTACACTTCACCCAGAAGCATTCTCCACTGAGGTGCCAAATCAAGAGTTGAGTCAGACAAACACTTCCAATGGAAGTGTCTATAGCAAAAAGCGACCAAGTTTTAGGTTTCGAATGTTTCGTTTTAAGATAGAACCAAGCAGCAATCACGAATCTATCTAGGTGTAAAACCACACAGTTTGGCAACTAACACATTATTGGAAGTGTTGGAAGCAGCTAGCGAAATTGATGTCTTAGTATGTCCAATTTGGCCAAATTTAACTTCATACGGGAAACGGATGAATGAGTTTTCTACGAATTGAATTTCAATTGATTTTTTTCATTCATATCAGATTTATTGTTGGCAAAAATGTACATTGGAAGGTGAATTAAAAGTTTCCAGAAGGAAATAAGGCGAGTGTGCAATCGTCAGCAAAGCTGGTATTTTCCAATAGATGTTAGACAATATGGATCCCTGGAGAACACCAGTATGGATGGTATCCGAGAGAGAACCATCGATAGCTACTTGTAAGGAAAGGTCTGTTGAGAAAACTCCACAGCCACAAACAGAAACCATCTACCAAGCCATCCCTTTTAGGTTCCATTATCGTACCCTCAGGTCAAAGACCTTGAAAATATCAGACAGAGCAGCTCGAGTCTCTTTGTTTTCCTCAATGGCATTATCTTCTCAAAAAATTATAATTATATGAAAGAACGTCTCTTGTTGATTTTTGTTACCAATTATTACAAGTAGGAACAAAAGAAACTTCAAAGTGATAATTCTCAACGTGCGATCTCTAGAAATCCATTAAAAAAGTTATATTCCTCATTCCAATATATGAGATCAAAGTGAAGTGGGTCGTGACTTTCTTGATATTCTTCTGAATTGGTTATTAAAGTAGCGAAAACTGAAACAGGATATATATTTTTTGAGCTTGAATGTATGGTCAAACTACTGTTTTATAATTTGGAAAAACATTCTCCATTCTCCCCATAAAACAGGAAAATTTTGCCACCTAGAGTCAGTATTTTTTTCTTATTCGTTTTTTCGTCTCTCTGGTACTGTTTGTATGAGAAATGATGAGAATGTATCGTGCTGTTGAGCATACCATATTGGTATGCAAGTAATTTAACTGTGTGTTAAACTTCATATAAATGACTAATACTTTTTTGTCACTCTGTTACGGAACTATAGTGAATATGATAAGAATATTGAGTACCTGCTTGCAGCACATACATCATTTTTATAACTGTTTGAAGAGTTACCTTCATGATGGCCAAATTCATCAAAAAGTGTTGAAAAATATTCGATAGATCTTTGATTCGTGATACACAGTTTGTTTCAAAATAATTATTCGTGAAAAATAAAATTTCTCTTCGAATTTTTTTTAAAATATGGGTTAAATCCCATTTCAATCCGACCGTCGAAGATGAAAGATAGTAAATGAATTGAATTATTCAGAACGAATTATTAATTTTGTTTGCCACTGAATTCCTGTGAAATATTTTTTGTCAAAATATATTCTAACGCATTCTCTTTCTGGAATACTGAATGGCAAATAATAGGTTTTCGTACAGATCTAAATATTTGAAAAATCCTTTGATTTGTCGATTGTCATAAGAAGACATGGATTTGTTTAACAATTATACGAAGAACGAAACTCCATTCTGAAATATATTCTATGTAGATAAGTTTGTTTAAGCAAAACCCGTTAAACATATTTCGATGACCTGAAACGAAAATAGAATTCCAAAACATGCAAACATTTGTAAAAGTGGTCACCAAAAATGTAGGAGTGCCGGAATCAATATCCAAAATAAGTACACACCTTACTGGAGAACAAACATGCAAAAACTTTCAAGCAAATCTGAATTCATTGCTAAAAATGGACGTATGGAAAATATCAGCATATATTTTACCATTCACTATTTGGACATTTCTAGAGATGAAAGACCCCTTATTGAAAAGGAAACTTACACAATTGCTAGTAGTGTTTCAGAATGTCCTTTCTATCCCAGGATATTCAAAAAGAATAACATTTACTGACCTTCAAAACATCTGTCATCAGAATCAACATTAGTTCTTCTTCTATATCTTTGTTTTCTGTTTCCTTGTGACCAGGCAATACACCAAGTATCTTGAATTGGTTTACACTTGCTTATCACAGGTATACCCACACAATTCAATTAGGAAATATCGAATTTGACAGGAATATATGTCACGAAATTGGACAATACTTGATGAAAATTCATATTCAATCTGACGTCACAGAATATTGATGTCATTTTTACGTTCTGGCAAAGACCATTTGTTATTTCGTTGCGGTAATCTAGGTGTGCATTATTCAAAGTTTACTGTACTAATTAGTACTGATCCAATTACTATTTATGTAATGAGGAATTGAAGACGACATACAATGTACCTCATATTTTCCATTCTTCTTTTTCTGACACACTGTATCACTAGCAGAAAATATGTTCATCACAATTCAGTTGACAGCTCATAGATTTTCTCTGCACGCTTTTAGAAAACTGTTGTGAGTAGATGATGGAATTGATGACTGTTACCATACCTACAAATACTTAAAAATCACCTCCAATCATATGCTTTCTACACCTGGGATATTAATTCAATCTCCACTATTGGTNATATAACTGATATTAAGAAACACAGGAGATCGATATAACCCTCAGCTACAAGAGTAGCTGAAGGGTATATCCTAACCTAACCTAAGCCTCAGCTACAAGAGTAGCTGAGGGATCAATTTATTTTTTATAAAACTATAGTTGAAAGAATAATCCCAACACCTATATGGAGCGTTACAGCATTGTGCTCTTCATTTCAAAAGTTTAATGTTAATATCCATGAAATTGTCAACTTAGCTAGTTCAAATATATTACAAGACTCTTCAACATGTCGAGGTATCAATATCAGTAGCTGTTCCTATTGTTCTTTTCATATTAATGTTCATAAATAATAATAATAATGTAATTAATGTATACAATACATTTGTAACAGAATTTAATTGTATCTAAATTAATTGTTCATAATAAAACCACCTTGTTAATTGAATAATCTTGTTTTGTTTTTTGCTATTTGGTCGAAAAAATCGCGTTAGAAATACTTTACACACTAGTATTGAAAATATTTTTAACACGCTACTTCTCATTTAAATTCTAAGTGGGAATTGAAAACACTTTGTGTGAACTTCCCACGCGAATAATGATGTAATTTTATTTCGAAGATTCATTGAATTATAAAAATTGTTTTGCAAGCTTGTACTTAAATATTTACGGTCATGCAAATCACACCACTGAAATTAACCAATCGCCGGCGATTACAAAGTCAATATATTTTATGTTTATAAATTGCACGAATAATCAATGAAAATGCAGAAAGTAATGGATAGTGTTGATAAAAACTAGTTATCTGCTGACTATTGTTAAAACAATCGATAAGCACAGTAGTTTTCTTCAACTAATAATCTGTATAAAATATAAACATTCAGATGTACAATTGTTCAATTGTGAAATGTTAATGTCAATGCAATGTAAACATGATATGATTTTTTATGTTATCCCATAAAGTTTCCAGCAATAAAATAAACAACTAAATATAGTTCAACTTTTTCATTCTGCTGCTTTATCTGCAAAGAGTTC